TCGTATGCAGGCGCCATTTCTGTTTAATTGTTCAGGATTTATGGTATGCACGGGTGTTTGTATCCTCAATATGGGCTTCCGTGATTTATTTCAGATTTTTCCCTCATGATCTAAGGTTGTTTTGTACTTTCCATGCTTTGTTTTGACCAGGGTCTTCCTTATTTGGACAGAAATTGGTCTTCACAATCTGCCAAAGTGTGGATCTTGGTTCTGATGGCCGGTTCCCTTCGCATTGCCACCCTCACGTGTCTTTAAACATGATGTGGATTTCTATATTCCCGTTGTTGGTATAATTTCACAACGGCTGGACCGTTTGGGCTGAAACTTTGCATAACTATAGTTTCCTATTTATCATAATTTTTGTGTAAATTTCGTTGTATGTTTTAAATATGGATTCTACGTAAACGTCGTCTTTTCCCTGAGCCATGGCTTTGATGTCGCTTATCCCGTTATTGAATATCTCATTGATGCATGAATCTTTTATTATGAAAATTTGGGTGGATTAAGATTAGATCCCTTCCCTTCTAATGGGCTATCAAGCTCGTCTCGGTCGTTACTGCTTGTTCTTCGCGCTTGCCTTTTAAACGTTGTCCTCGTTTCCCAAGAGTTTCGGTCATATCTCCGTCGTTTATGGGTAGTTTTCCCTGTAATTACTTTCATTGGGTCCGTTTGGGGGACATCTACATTGCCTATTATAAACACGACTTTGAATTTTGCATTAGTTCCTAAGGAATCCTTGTTCCATGGTACTTCCATCCTCGGCTATGTGTGCGGGCGTGGGAAAGTAGTTTCCGTGGAGGTTCTCTGGTTGTTTTTATAGTCAAATCTTGGTCGATTGTCCTAATTCTTTGTTTCATATTTGCTATAAATTCCCCCGAGAATTCCGTCTTGTTGATGCTAAGCTTGAAGTATTTTTGCTAATTTTCTTTCTTCCAATTTATTGTATGTAGTCGTAATAATTCATTAAAATTCGTTAAAATTCAGGTTCTTCTATTTTCTCATATCTACTTGTCATATGGGGTTTTGTGATTTATCTGGCATATTTCCATAATGGGTTTCCATAGTGTGACCATTATTTCTCCTACACCGCTCCGCTTTCGTCTTCCCTTTGTCCCATTTGGACGCCTTTGTTCCGATTCGGACCCTCTTTGTTTCCTCATGCTTTTGCCCTCTCCATTATATACCGGCGCTTGTACATACTCGTTTTAGGCCCTTAGTCTAAAATTGACCTGAAATGCCCCCTAGAGACTTCCTGCTCAACGCCTCTGAAATTAAGGACCAAATGGATAAACAGCAATGGCACAGCGCTCCACATGAGTCGCTGAGGCCAAGGTCCCTCCTTGCTAAGTCTCTGGTTCCCCTCCGGAATCGTCCGCCCTCACCCAGTTCTAACAATTTGGAGCCATTAGCAATAGGGATTAATATTTCACAGAGTTCAGAAACATGGACAGACCAAGTTATCCTCCTATTTGCTTGACTCTATCACCACTACACTATGCTTCTGAAGTCCAATCCAGCTGAACATAATGCTGTTAAAGAGATAATCAACAGCTTGGAAAAGCGCTGGTCTAAACTTGACCAGGAACTACTGTACCCACATGACCAACTACCGGCTGGGTCCTGAGCATGACGCAAATTTTTCAACCGGCAACTCAGTTTGATGCATGACACCCAACTGGCCAGCTGGGCCCCAAAAGGGAGGCAGTGCTAATTTCGGGAAAATGGCTGAGCCTGATGAGGTTGCTTTGGCTCCCTCCGACCTTGGTCATGCAAGCTAGAAAAACACACAATTTGGATGAGGTGGCTGTTTTTCGTTTCGGAACATACCAATTACCTGAAAAAAGAAATTTGATATAGCCTTTGCATAGCCACAAGTGAATGAGCATTTTTGCGTGACATGGGACAATTTGACTGCTTGCGTGACAGAGTCTTCAAATGAGCCTGACCTGCAAGCCCGCGTGATGCGTGACAGGTAGTTGGTCATGTGGGTACAGTATTCATACTTGGCCTTATTCTGAATCCATTCATAGACCCCCAACTTTTTGCATCTACGCTGCCACCATTCATTATCATCACCATGGCTGAGAGGATGTACAAGCAGATCACCAAATCAGATAGTGCAGTTGACCTAGGCCCAGAGCTTGTGAAATATCTGCAACACAAAGGTCAGTATGCAGGAGATGCGTGGTCTTCAGAAGAGGTAATGAATAAATATGCACCAGTGAGTCATAACAATCTTACTTTGTACATCACCCTGATCTCAACTAGAACTATCCCACAGAAACAAGATCCTAAGGATATCTGGGCTCTTTTGAGTAAAACATCCCCACTTCAGAGACTTGCAGCCACTGTGCTTAGCTTTGTCTGTAATGCTGCAGATTCAGAGTGGCTGTGGAGTCACTGTGGGCTCATCAAGTCAAAAAAGCAAAGCCGCCTATCAGTGGAGAAGATGAAGAAGAGTGCAGTAATCAAGATTGACTTGATGTCTAAGAGAGCAATGGATGGATCCCATATCAAATGGATCAAGTGCACACATGGAGTGATGGCAACTGAAGAGGACATTGCCCGATCACGAAATAGTCAGGCAAAGAAGCACTGGATGGCTTAGGAGAGGGACTGTCAGAGTACAGCCCAGCTAAGTCTGGACTGCTTACACACAACTGATGACACACTTGCCCCAGACCGGCTGTTACAGGAATGGGTTCCGGGGAACCCAACCTGAACTGTTCAGCTCACTAATGGAGGTGGCTGCATAGCCAGAGGAGGGAGAGCGGAATGGGATGAGTATTTGGAAGTACAACTTGCAGGTTGGCCAACGGTAACTTGGCGCTCCTGGGAGCGTACCGGTAGCGAGTATGATGTGGGCTCCTTGAGGGAGCCACCTGGCTGTCTGCTAACGGGGACTTGGCGCTCCTGGGAGCGTACCGGTAGCGGGTGTGCTGGGAGTGGTTGGCTAGCGGTGACTTGGCGCTCAATGGAGCGTACCGGTAGCGTGGGATACTGGGACTCCCAAAGGGAGTCACCCAGTGGGTGGCTATCGGTGACTTGGCGCTCATGTGAGCGTACCGGTAGCGGGAGTTGTTGGGGAAAGCAGGCTGGTGGACCAGTGCACGGTAGTGGGTGACCGTGGGAAGTGGGCCCGTGGGTGTGTGGCCAGGCATCCTGGAGCTGCCTGGACCATATCCCTCTCCTAAGGAGGTGGGATAGGCTACAGTTCCTGATAGGGAACTTCTGGTTGGAGGGGAGTGATTGCTCAACCACCCGGTGGACTGGTGGGAGCGGGCAGCAGGAGGTTGGGCATGGGAATGCCCTCCTTGTTGCGGTTTTGTCATGGAGAGGATGAATAGGGAGGTGGACATGGTTCTGAGGTTACAGGTTGAGTTTACAGTGGTGGCACAATGGTGAGGATGTTCAATTGCGGTACAAGGTTTGTGGGTTATGTATTCGATAATGAAGAAAGACATTTTTCGGCATCTGCCTTACACATCATATGACTTCTAACTATCTAATATAAAAGTCACAATGGTCAAGGGAAGTCCCTTGAAACTCAACAAATTCCCCAGCCAGCACCAAAACCCAGTGGGAAAGCTTGGCATGGGGTTTGACAGTGAAATAAAGGTGAAGGGACCAAAGGCTTGATTGTTCATAGTCACGGACCATAAGATTCTAGGTCCATTCCTATAACACCAGCATTACCCACACAGCCTGATCATTATCCCCAGACTGGCATGGACATTTGTTATATTTCCTTCTGTAGAGCGGCCCCGCTTTGCCAGGCATACTGACTTTATCATCCCCTGGGTAGCGAGTGAGGAAGATAACTTTCTTCTCTCACTTCCCCTCGCTGCTCAGCTGGAATCCCCATCGCAATCTGCTCTGCCAGGTTCCCCCATTGAGACTGACCCTGTCCCCCTCAGCCTCAGCTCCAGTGAAGGCTCAGGATCCCTCGACTTAGAGTCCAAGCAGCTCGGTACCCTGACAGGGACCAAATGATGAGGAAGAGGTCATCGATGAAGATGGGACACCAGAAAAGGCATCGTTTAATGCATTCCAAAGGCAGTTGGTCACTGATCTGCAAGATTGCAACAGTGGTGATGAAGAGACAATGTTGTCAGCAGCTCAAATTGAAGGCCGGGTATGTAGGAATCATACTTGCTAGTTGTTTCGCAGAAAATATAATGGCAATTTCTGTGTAGCAGCATTCCACAGATTCTTGCCGAAAGCGGCCCTCGAAGATCTTTTTGACTACACAGTAGAGAGAGCCTGGAAGGTGTTCTGGGTTGAGGGCAAAGCTAGCACTAGGGCTCAGACTCAGATGTTGGACCTGGAGGCTCGTAATGCTGCTATTCAGGGTGGAGTAGTAGCCATGGTGGAAGGTGTGGCAGCGAGTTGGGGTATCACCAATCAGTTGCCCAATTAGGAAGTTCAATACAATTTACATAATCATTTCTGTAATCCGCCAATGCCCGTTCGCTTTTGTCGACTTCAGTCTCAAACTAGTTTAAACTACCGATTAAAGTCAATTAAGACCAAACATTATTAAACAAGTTTAATATCTTTGATTAAACAACACTAGCTTGAACAGCAAATCCACTGCACAGAGTAGCACCAAACACACACACCTGGAATAATGTTGGAAAACACTGGAAGCGTTGTAACCCATTACAAGGCATTGTAATGCCTCTCAACAGCACATGCCATTCTAACGCTCTCAACACTGAACTCAATCGTTCCAACACTTCAAGGTGTTGTAATGCTTTCCCTGTTGAAGTGGCATTCCGATGCCCTTTGTCACGGTTATTGTTCCCTTTTATGGGAAGTTTTATTGCTTTAACGCTTTGGCCTTTGTTCCTTTGCGCCACACAGAAATATATATAAGTGTGCTCCATCATCGATGATAACATCTAATGACACTGTGATATCGTGCTCAGAGGATCGGGCTGCAATGCCACGATTATAACAGGTTATGACCCCCAGTCAACTCTGCCGCTCGTTCGATGCTACCGCTCTTTGAATGTTTTTGCGCTGTGCTTGCGCTGTTCTTTCACTATCTCCACTGCCCACATGCCCGCTATGGTCATTGCATCTGACCGTGCCCCATGCCGCCACGCTGTACTGATGTTGACACGTGTTTTTTTCGACATCACTTCCTTGCAACAACGAAGGCTGCCATGCCGCCCCATGACATGGACCTCACAGAGTAGTGCACCTGCTGGTGTGGGGGCGGCTGCTTGTGATCCGACTGCCTGTCCACTGCTTGGGCACCACTACCCTGTCACCCCCCTCCCGAATGCCCTGAAAGTGCCTGTGCTTGGCACTTAACCATCTCCGACCTTCCCGACGCGCGTCCGATGCCAATGAGTAGGAATCACGATTTGGAAAAATAAGAGAAGTTGTAGAGGTTTTTTGTAGGATTCGAACGACCTCTTGAACGTCGGGATTGATGGAATACTGAAGGAGATCGACGCAAAAGGACGCATTTTGGACGACCCAACTTAAAACTCGACGCTAGCGCCACCCATGAATCGCTGAGACTTGATCTTGAGCCCGTTCGATAGAGAAAAATTGGGTTTATCTGCACGCCGAGTTTGGAGGAGAGTGATGTATTATTGCAGGAGTTATTAGCGAAGTAAACAATGACTCCGGGTGCCTATTGCATCACACCTCCGTGTCCACCCCTTTGCCACTGACTGACACCATCACTGTCGCTGCATGTGAAATCCCCCCCCCACTGCCTATGCTGTCATTGCTGTTGCCGTCCCCCTCCTTGCTCTGCTGCTGCCGAGCACGTTATGTCCGGGCGCTTTGAGCAAGGGAGGGAGATTATGAGCTGATTAAGTGCTCAAAGCGTGGCTGTTGCTGGAATTGCCATTGACGTTGCTGTTACATGCTGATCGACCACTGTCATCTTTCCCTTGTATCCAACAACGCCACCGCCCATTGAGACCATTGTGCTCTGTGTCTGAGACGACGTGATGGTGATAACTCTTGCTGGCCGTTTGGCCTGACTGCCGTACTGTCTGAGGACTGTCTTTGTCTGACCCCCTGCCTGATCTACCATGTCTGTCCACACTGAGGACCCCCGTACTGACCACACGTTACTGCAACCACCTGTGTGGGGTTGTCTGTGCCGTCATTGTAAGAACTGTACTTGCTGTACACTGTAGGCGCTTTTTTGAGCAAGGGGAAGGAATTCTACTGCTGTGTTGCTCAAAATCGCTGCTGTTGCCGACATTACCTCCATTGCCACCCACCCCCATTTATGCGCTGTGATAGTGCTGTCATCCATCTGTCCATCTGCCCGTGCACTGTGTACCGTCATTGTGAAAGCCATACTCGCTGTATGCTTTGGGCACTTTGAGCAAGGGGAAGGAGTTATATTGCCACGTTGCTCAAAGCACTGCCTGTGCCATTCTCTGTGCTGTCCCCCTTGCCATTGCCACTGCCCACTGTCCACTGTCCACCACCCACTGTCCATCCGTCTGTGCACTGTTGCCTGTGCACTGTCTCTGCCATTCCCTGTGTCATTCCCTGCACTGTCCCTCTTGCCATTCCCCCTCACTGTCGAGCCACTGTACCTGCGTTGCCCAGTGGAGAAATAGTTTGATGTGTGGACGTTGGGTTGAGGGGAAGTGTTAGTGTAGCAACCCGACATTGCTGAAGTAGGAAAGGCCGGGATGGAGAAGAACTGGTAGCAATCCGATGTTGCCAAGAAAGGCCAGGACATCGGGTTGAGGGGAAGGGTTGATGTAGCAACCCAATGTTGCTGAAGTAGGAAGGGTCAGGATGTCGGGTTGAGGGGAAGAGTTGGTAGCAACCTGACATTGCTGAAGGGAAAACTGATATGTGCTGCCGATGATGCGCTGACGTATTATGCTGCCCTGCTTACACTGATTGGAGTGTCCTGTAACCCTGGACTACTCCGTGTGGGCTTGTGATTGAAAGTTGGGTGCTTGAGGATAGGCTCTGTAACCGCCCTGTGCCATGTCGTTGGGCTTGGAAAATCTCGCTGGAATGTTGGGCGCTGAAGGAGAGAACGAAGGAAGGTCAGTTGGGAGGTTCAAACGAGACCACCACCAAGCTGTTCCCTGGTTCTTTAGTTAGGATGGGGAAGTGTACTAGTGTTATTTATTGTAAATAAAGTACCAATCCGAGTGTTTTGGCTAATTCTATTTTTATGGGTTAGTTTTAAAGTTCCTGGGAATTGACTTACAGATAAACCGAGCCCTGCGGAGCTGTTTCTTTATTGAAATTTATTAATTTGTCTAGGTGTAATTCTGTGTAGCGTTGTTTAATTTGGATTTAAACTTGAATTTAATCTTCTACTTGGTGAAGTTTCAAAGATTCTATTCAGTTAATGAATTTGGATGGTGTCTGGAGTGTCCCTTGAGTTCGTTTTATTTTTGTCTTTATTTTATCGCTTGTTTTAACGGTAGCAAAATAACTGTTTGTGTTTACACTTTGAAATCTGGAGTGTTAACCAGCTCTCCTGTTGAAATATCTACTTAATATTTCTCTCCTTAATTGCTGCCTTTTACTACAGTGGCAATCTTAACTGTATATCACTTTTTCGCACTGGAGTGACAACCAGAAATGCTTGAGAAAAATAATACTCTATTTTCTTACTTCTCTAAGGGGGGCGAAAAGTCGCAGAAAGGGTCTCCCTTTTATACTCCTTGGGTCGCCTTCCTTTTTCACGCTCTACCTTCTATTTACAGGATTTATTTACAGTGTATTTTTCTCAAACTGAATAAAAATGAAATTTTCATGCTATAGTTCTACTGCGCTTTTGCTGCACTGAACTGCGGTTCTACTGCGGTCAGACTGCGCCTGGAATCCTTATTGTCCTTCCTCGCCTAAGCTATTTTAATGGTTAATTAGAATTTGTCTGCGCCGCATTTGCCGCAGTTCCCTATTTCAAATTCCCCATATTTCCCATTAAGTTCGCTATGACTCGGTCATACTGAATTCAAACCTCGCATTACTATGCGTGCGACTGTGCTGAGACCTTCAGCTGATTTATTCCAATTTTATTTAGTGACATTTAGTTAAAATGAGACTGAAATGATAAATGAGTGAATTATTCAGGTTTAAAACTGAAAGAAAAAGTTGCTAGTAATCAAGAATTACTCAAACGAATGTGTTATAGCTCTCTACTTCATTAGAACATCGTTCCCTAAAATTCCCGCCATGGTCCGTCGTAGTTTAGTAGTTTTCGTGAATTTCGTTCATATTCCCTGATTCCCCTTTGTATTATCACATCCTAATCCTCCATATGTATTGTTCGTTGTTATAGTAGGTCGTCCTCGAAGATATCATATTTTTATGTATTTTATTTAGGGCTCTAGACCTCTTGAAGCTGTCTTCCCGCGTGTTTTCAGGTTTCTAACTTCATGTCCTTGTATCTCATTCATTTCTGGATGTTTTCTCACGTTCTTGGTATCATAAATTTTCATTTATTCCCACCTTTCCAATGGTACTAAGGTTGTGTCCTATTTCCCTGTATTCGTTGAGTTAGCAAAAGTTCGCACGCACATTCGGTAATCACATGCGTCGTTCCCATAGTTGTTCGTATGCGGGAGCCGTTTTCGTTTAGTTGTTCGGGATTTATGATATGCGCGGGTGTTTATTTCTTTCATATGGGCTTCTGTGATTTATTTCAGATTTTTCCCTCATGATCTAAGGTTGTTTTGCACTTTTCGTGCTTTGTTTTGACCGGGCTCTTCCTTATTTGGACGGAAATTGGTCTTCGCGATCTGCCGAAGTGCGGATCTCGGTTCCGACGGCCGGTTCCCTGCGCATCGCCACCCTCACGTGTCATTACACATGATGTGGATTCCTATATTCCCGTCATGGGTATAACTTCACAACGGCTGGACCGTTTGGGCTGAGAATTTGCATAACTATAGTTTCCTATTTTTCATAATTTCCGTGTAAATTTCGTTGTATGTTTTAATTATGGATCCTACGCAATCATCGTCTTGTCCCTGAGCTCGGACTTTTGATGTCGCTATTCCCGTTATTGGATTTCTCATTAACGCATGATCCTTTTATTATGGAAATTTGGGAGGATTAAGAGTAGATCCTTTCCTTTCTAATGGGCTATCAAGCTTGTCTCGGTCGTTACTAGTTAATCTTCGCGCTTGCTTTTTAGACATTGTCCTCGTTTTGCAGGAGTTTTAGTCATATCTCCATCGTTTATGGGTAGTTTCCCCTGTAATTACTCTCATTGGTTCCGTTTGGGTGACATCTACATTTCCTATTATAAACACGACTTTGACTTTTGCATTAGTTCCTGAGGAATCTTTGTTCCGTGGTACTTCCATCCTTGCTACGTGTGCGGACGTGGGAAAGTAGTTTCCGTGGAGGTTCTCTGATTATTTTTATAGTCAAATCTTGGTCGATTGTCCTAATTCTTGGTTTAATATTTGCTATAAATTCCCCCGAGAATTCCGTCTCGTTGATGGTAAGCTTGAAGTATTTTTGTTATTTTTCTTTCTTTCGATTTATCGTGTATAGTCATAATAATTCGTTAAAATTCAGGTCCTTCTATGTTCTCATATCTACTTGTCGTATGAGGTTTTTGTGATTTATCTGGCATATTTCCATAATGGGTTTCCATAGTGTGGCCGTTATTTCTCCTACAACGTATAGTCATAAAAATTTGTTAAAATTTGTTAAAATTTGTTAAAATTCAGGTCCTTCTATTTTCTCATATCTACTTGTTGTATGAGGTTTTGTGATCTATCTGGCATATTTCCACAATGGGTTTCCATAGTGTGACCGTTATTTCTCCTACAGCGCTGTTGTGGGGACAACTCCGTGTACCGCAAAAAGTCGGATTCTGCGGAATTTGGTCACTAACACGCAGTACATATCCGCTGACGCTCCCGATACTCATTCTATCACTATCCAACACTCCATACACTCACTCCATATTTTTCCATATTTTCCCCATCATTCCCGACAGCCCCAAGCCAAATTCCCACGCCCAACCACGCCGCCAATTTCACCCCCTCTCCACATCTCAAGAACCACTGCACCAAATGGGATGAATAAGGGCTCGTTGGAAAGCTGGAGACGAGGAGGTTGCTGTCGGGAGGATAGGCGGGTGCTGTGGCGAACTGTTGCGGAGTTAATCTTCACAATTCCCATTTCGGACCCGTTGTCACATTTTCCCCATTCACTCATATTTCTTTTATTGTTTCTTTGTTCCCAATTGGATATTCATCATTTACGGTTGCCTAACGGCCCGTTTACATTCCCCCAGTCCATTCATTTCATTTCCAACATATATAAACTAGATAACAGCTTGTACATAACAAGTTAGTATTGAATAGACCCGTGAAGGGACAAGCAGAAGTTGCATCCAAGTGGCAAAGACGCCATCCACGACCCTAACGCCCCCCTTGAGATTGTTGCTCACATCTAAGACCCCTCTCATCATAATACTCAGCCTTGATGTCCAAGAGAGATGTAGGTGAGTGTTTGTTTGAGGTTTTTGCAGACTCAGTAGCACCCACGGACCAAAACCCGGCCCAACGAACCACACCCGCGCACACTACCACCCTCCCCCTTCTCTCTGTCTCGAGTCTAGGCGATAGACCCGTTACAGCGCCTGCACCGGATGCCCTCAGGATCCCCCGTGGGGACACCCGGATGGCTGCAGTTGTCTCTGAGGATGATGTGGCATCCGTCATGTGACTCAAGCCGCATGTACATAAATGTACCTGAAGTGGGAACCAAAGAAGTAACCTTCTTCTCACCTTTTCCACTTCAGTCTGAGTCGCCAGGGACAGCTGTCCCACATCGGGCCTGCCAGTACACATGCCCAATCTATCCCCTGCAAGGTCCTCAGCGCTGGGCGCTATACCCGGACCCCCTCGACCCCGGACGTGTCCCTGACAACTTGTCCCCACAACAATGTAAGTTTTTTAAACCCTCAGGGACTAGCCCTGAAGTGGTTGCTTTTTCAGGATTATGTTGATCCTCGTCATTGTCCGACAACAGCTGCTTTACAGTTTCTTTATGAACTGCTCATTCTTTTTTGTCACTGAAGAT